CCATTCTTTCTACTAGGATCGCCTCATAATAAACCATTCTTTTAGACAAGGTCATCTCATAATAAATCATCATCCTAGGTAGGGTTACCTAATAATAGATCATTCATGTAGGTAGGGTCGCCTAATAATAGACCATCATCCGGGCAAGGTTGTCTCATAATAGACCATCCTTCTAAGTAGGATCGCCTCATAATAGACCATGATCTAGATAGATCGTCTCACAATAACCATCCTTTTAGGTAGGATCGCCTAATAATAAACCATCATCCAGGTAGAGGCACCTCATAATAGACCATCATTTCAGGCATGATCACCTCATAATAGATCATCATTTCGGCATGTGGTTGCCTAAAAATAGACAATTATCACGAGCAAGGTCATCTAATAATAGACTATTGCATTTTACTTCTTAGAGCAAGCCATTCTTGATAACAAGGCAATCACATTATGTGTTTAATTTTTAAGCTAGGTTACTCTAGAAAACAAAGCCATCGCATTGCATTTTACTTTTTAGGATAGGTTGTCCTTCACAACAAGGTTATCGCATTGCATTTTACTTTTCGGGAGGTCGCCCTTCCCAGTAAGGCCATCCCACCACATTTTTACTATTAAGGTCGGTCACCCATGACAACTAGATTGTTATTTTTTATTTTTCGAGGGCAAGCCACCTTACATAATAAGGCTACTACATTTTTTTTTTTTAGGGCAAGCCATCCTAAATAATGAGGTTATTACATCTTTTTTTTTTCAAGGAAGGTCACTTATGAGAATCGACCATTTTTGCCACTCAATTTACTTTTTTTTTTTAATTACAAGCTCACTAAGCAAACCCAATCTGAAGTTTGCACTTTAATTAGAATTTGCAACGTAATTATTGTAAAGAGGGAGTAACTATCATAACTCAAAATTTCCTTCATCTTTTTTGCTTTTTTTTTTACCGTACTTTATTTTGGAATTTACTCGTATAAAAAAATTGAAAAAAAGAATAAAAATATAAAATATAAAAAATATAAAAAAAATGAAAGATATGACTTTTCCCTTCAAATCCCTAAAAACACCCTATATAAACCACTCTTACCCTTCATTTTAAGGGTAGCCACAAGAGCCATAATAGTTCCTCCTATCCTAAAGAAAAACCCTAACCTCTCACTCATCTCCCTACCACCTATTAAGCTTCTCTTCCACTTGATCAACAACAACAACACCCCTCAACACATCTAGCCACCCTCTCGTCACTCAAGAAATCACAAAACAAAACCTAGAGACAAAAAAAGGGAAAACTGCTAAATGACCCCTAAAAAGGGTCGTCGGTCACCTTAGACCAGCTTTTCTTTTTCTTTCTCAAATAAGCCATGTTTTTACTAAAATTAATTTGATCCACCATCACAAATAGATGTCCCATCACTAGATCTACAATTCTTGACTGGCTAGGAAGGGAGTAGAATCGAGGAGAGAAGGTCGGTGACTAGATTCAATTTTGTACTCGTTATTATCATCATTTTTGGCCAAAACGACGAACCCCCACCACTAGAGAAACACTCCTCACCCTCATAGAAGTTGTTCCCCTAAAAACTCCAAGCAAAATCTCACTAGAAAGTGGCTAAATTGAAGAAGAGACTCGTGATCGACCCGTTTATCCGTTAATATCAAACCTAAAAAAACCGATTAATTCTAGCCAAATTGGACCTCATAACCACCACATAAACACTCCTCTTAACCTCATGATTCAATTGGTATCCTCAAAATCCCTTAACATTGTCGAAGCATCGTTGATAAGAGAAGGAGATGCAGCTTAAAACTTCAAGGTCGTCGATCTCCCTCCTCCGGCAATGATGACCTAAACCATTACCACCGTTGGGTTTGTGATGGTCTCCTCCATCACATAGGGTGGTTCACACACCCGAAAGGTCATTAAATTGTGACTGGCATCTTGACGGTAGCTTTGGGGTTTCTTAAAAGCATTTTGGTAATTTTTCCCCTAAAGGCATTTTGGTAATTTTGCCCCATAGGGGCATTTTGGTTACTTTCCAACAACATCTTATGGGCATTTTGATCGGTCTTTAAAGACCATTTGGTTTATTTTTGTTACCTGTTTATTTTTTATGTATGCATGCTTTTTTTATTATTAGTTTATGTTTAATTTAGATTCATTATTTTTAATTTATTAAGTTAATGTCAATTTTAGAATTTATTTCAATAATTAGGTTAGATAGCTAATAGGTGGATGAATTGTTGAGTCTCCTAATTTTTAAGGATCGATGGTGATTCCTTGTCGACAAAAAAATAAAAAATGAACAAAAAAGAAGAAGAAAAGTTAGGAAAGGAAAGAAAGCAAAAAAGAAAATGCTAAGAAAAAAGAGAGAAGAAAAGAAGAAAGAAAAAAACACAAAAAAAATATATTAACAAAGTTTTCTAACTAATAGGAATCGTTGTTAGCCAAAAAAATCACTTTAGTAATTAGAGTGTCCTTCAACATATCGGTTATATCGAGACTTAAAGTGAATCCGACGTTTGAACTAACATGTCTTTTGTCTAAGGGGTCCGATGATTTGTTCAATACAATGCCACGAATAAAAATAAAAAAAAATTGGAAATTGATTGAGAAATTAATATTTTAGCAAAAATAAAAGCTTTTAGGAGATAAATGTTTAGACTAAGTTAGACGTGGTACTTTTCATCGAAAATGGTGCTTTTGGATGATCGATATCGTTTCAAAAATATAACCAACTTCTTACTCTAGAATCTCTAGACTAGTGCTATTTTTAGGTTCTTAGTTCTTACAATACTAAGTGGGAACTCCCAAAATCAATAATAACTCACATTTCAAGAAGTAATCATAAATAATTCAAACAAAACAAAACCTTAAATTTTCGAGAGTCTCATTGAATGTTGTGTAGCGACACCAAATATCAACTATTTGTAAGTAAACATTATTTTTCTACTACAAATGTTATGCTACCATGTCACAAGTAGTGATTTAGCAGTTCCACGTATGTATAAAAAGTTTGGATGAGAGTTTTCCTATCAGCCCTACTTTAATGTTTTCAATTTTTTTATTTACTTAAATTTATTTAATTTAATTATAATTTTTATAAATACTCTATTTTCTATGTCGAGTTAATAATATCACGTAATAATGTGTGTGTGTGTGTGTGTGTAGTGATTGTGGTTATTCAAATGGAAAAAAAAAATCAATGATTGGACACCGAAATAAAAGAGTTTAAGAGTACTTGAAATAGAAAAAAAAATCAAATATTTGTCGTCAAAAATGCAATTTTTTTTTTTTTTGGTCATATATGAGAGTTAAAAACTAATACATAACAGTTCATCTCGGATACACTAACATTTGATACTTTCGAGTAACTATAACACTCAAATGAAAATAAAATCAAAATTTGAACATTGAAATAAAATAATTTACTAGTGGGACACTAAAATAGAAAAAAAATTTCAAAAGTTTGACACCAAAATGCATTTTTTTCTTTTCGATCCAATAAAACATCCTAATTGTTTTTTGACTCAGCTTATTCAAGCAATTATGCATGATGGATTTGGGATAGATTTAACACTTCTTTTTTTCTTGAAAACAAAAACTCAAATAAATATACACGTACAAATATGAGTTACAAACTTATTAAACACGCATTTACTTTTATGTAATTATTGACCGCAAAGTCATACACAATGCATTTATGAAATCGAACAATTGATGCTGCCCTCATCCGGATCATTTCTCAAAAAGAGACCATACAAAATACCTTTCGCATTATAACAATCTTATCCGCAATAACCAAAACAATAGAATAGAATTAGTTTGCATACAGTAGCGATCAAGTGATCCATACTTGATAGAAGCAAACGGGTTTGTTAGATAGTCATTGTGGTATTTGATCCTTTTCCCATACTTTAGAGCATCTTTAATGGGGTCAAGGCGTTATTTGGATCATCCATCCCCGGAAAGACCACAAAAGAAGGCAGATTTTGTTTGTGATTATTCCTTCATGACAGAGTTTCATAAGCATCTAGACATTCTCCATAATTGGAGATCAAGCTAAAGCATAAAATATACATTACTTTATACGACAAGAAAAACACAGAAATTAATGGCTTTGAATGACTTTTCTAACCGAAACAACGATTATTCAAAAGATTACCATTTTCGGTTATAATGAGGAGAGGGTTCTCATATAACTCATTTTTTAGTTATCTTTTTAACGTGAAATATGTACTCTAACATTCTTCATCATTTGTAGTCCATCTTTTGAGGTCAATAAAATGGCTTGAACTCTATAATTTTTGTTAGGCCGTTGAACCTCTTTGATGTTACGATATCATATAGAATTAGATATTTAAGATTGGATTTCATTCAAAAGACTTGAGCTTTTAGGTGTTTGACCTCTTCTTAAACTTACATATTACTCGTATTTTGTTTATCTTTTTAATGTAAAATATGTGCTTTAACACTTTTCTCACTTGGAGTGCATCTTTAAGATATCTTAAGTGATTTGGGTTTCAGAATTTTTGCTCGGTCGTTGAGTCTTTTTGAAGCTCTAATACCATATAAAGTTAAATAATTGAGATTTGGTGCCATTCAAAAAATTGAATGATCATTTCTCAACTTTATATATTATTTATATATTATTTAATGTGAGATATAATCATTAACAATTAGGAAAAAAAAAACAAACAAACAGAACAGAACAACTATACACGAACACAATAGATAAATAAATAGACAAATGCATAGAATATGATACATATAATATAAAAATGTGAATAATAGCAGACAGACTTGCCAGAAACCAACTAAAAAGAATTAAATATAGAAACCCTACATAAAATTGATCTGATCGTCATTTCTTTGGGTGTGAACTCATCCCAGCCCCGTCTATATAAGGATAAGATCCCAACGCTTTTTTCCAACAACTACCTATCTTTGATTTTGTTATTTCAAAACTGTAACTGCTTATAGTCTGTCAAATTTGATTAACTCCAACAAAATGACACTCTTGGGTAAGTTGGAGGGGGAAGTAGAGGTCAAAGTTTCTGCTGAAACATTTCATGATATTTTCAGCTGCAGACCACACCACATCTCCAATATGAGCCCTGCAAAGGTACAGAATGTTGATCTACACGAAGGTGACTGGGGGAAGCCAGGCACTGTAATCTGCTGGAGTTATGTACATGGTAAGGCGGTGTCGTCAAGATCAATCCCCTAACCAAAACAATATTAAGCATCGCATTGCTCATGCTTCTTAATCATATCTTCTTGGTTTTAATCATATATAATTTGCTAACCGTTGCTTTACTTGCATCATAATTGGTCTACAATTTTGTTTTCTTTTTTGGTTGGCTTATAACATGAGGATCAGAAGCGACTATGGATATTTGGTACACTCTCGTAAGTAGTTCGATTTTGATCATTCTAGACCAGTTATTTGTAACTGTACCTTATGAGAAGAGAACGGATGCCTGCCTTCATCTAGGCGATCTATCATCGCCAGCTTCTAAGTTTGACTATGTCGAGTATTCGATCATTAGTCTATAGATCTTGTAAACTATGCATCCTTAATTTTGTGCAAGCTTTTGATAGTAGGATTTTGTTTTACCGTGGTAGTAACGGGCAAGGCTAATTAGAATTATCTATTTGGAAGTGTCAAAAGAATTAAAATGTTGATAGTATTTGCTCTTTTTTTCTTTAATTTAATAATCGTATGCCTTTTCAACAATCTGAAATAATTTTTAAAATGATTTACGATTTTTTAGTTTAAATTAATTTTATCTCCTAATTTTAATCTAAAAATTTAAGTTATTGAGACGATCTTTTGATATAGTATTAAAAATTTAATTATCAAACAGTCATAATTTCAAACCTACCTACACTCATTCTTCTAATTAGTAAATTAAAAATTTCAAAACAAGATAGTTGTGGATTCATACAAATTTCTAATCTAAATTCAAAAAACTTTTATTTGAAAAAAATTATTAATTTTAATATAACTTTATTATTGGAACCTCATATAATAATTTAAGTTTTTACATTGAGAAGAATTTTTTAATATAGATGAGTTCCAAAATTGAAAGACATAAAAGAAAAAAAAACTGTTAAAAAAAACAAATTAAACATTGCATAAGCAATATTAGGGATTTAAAAAAATGTTATTTTTCTTAAAAGTACCTTTCCAACGAACCCCATGATTGTTTAACTGCGTACCCAAATTCAAAAAAAAAAAAAAAAAAAATATATATATATATATATATATATATATTAAGCGGAATAATCGATGCCATAATTTAGATCTGCTTATACGTACAATGACTTTCTGAATTATTGTCCTTTAAAAAAAAACTTTACTCTAATTCTGGATTTACAACTCACACTAGTTAGTGTAGAAAACTTATTAGGACGTCCTTTATCAAGATCCTCACTGTTGGTGACAAGACCACCACTAAGTAAAAGATTTTACTATTATAGGTTCGTGCATAAATCTTAGACTCAATTATTACTAGATTTAAAACTCTTAGAAAATTTTAAATCTGAGAACTAAAATTAAAATTTTGTATTCGATTTGAGTTTTAAAATAATTTTTATTGTGAAACGAGATTAAAAGAACCTTTTTGATTGTCTTTTGAAGTAATTTGATAATTGGAATAGTGATGTTTAGGTGATGAATATGAACAAAGGAGTCTAAATCCAAATACTGAATAGTTTATATACTAAAATAAAAAATTTATATGTAAGAATTGTAAATTAAAACATTCAGTAGTTCTGGGTTCTATGTATTTTTTTAGCCCAACTATTCATCACTGATATTTAATTTGTTTGCAAAAATTAATAGGGGGGTTTCTAAGATTGCTAAGGAGGTTATTGAAGCTATAGATGACGTGAAGCTGTCGACCACCTTCAAAGTGATTGAAGGAGACATCACCACGGAGTACAAGAACTTCATACTTATCGTTCAAGCTACTCCCAAGGGAGATGGTAGCTGCGTGGTTAACTGGACTTTGGAATATGAGAAGCTGAATGAGAATATTCCAGATCCTCATACATTGCTTGAGTTTTGCATCCAGTGCAGCAAAGACATTGAGGATCACCACCTTACCCAGCTACCAGTGGCTCAGGCATGATCAGATCTCACGCGGGCTGCTGTTATTAAATGAAAATGGTTAGTGGTATGAATAATAAGAAGTGGTGAAATTTGGTTTGGGACAGACACCTGTTCTCCTATGTTAATGTATCTAATGGCGTGGAGGCTAGCTTATTATTTGTAGGTTTCAGTACCGTGCCGGTCTGCCCTGCTTTGTGATGTGTGGAAGGTCTGAATGTGAAATTAATGAAAGCTCTTATGTGTGATTTAATAAGTGTTTAACATACATTGGCTCTCTCCCTCTCCCATGCAACCATTTTTTATTATTTCAAAATCCTAGCTGGAAAATCGATTGGGATTTTAAACTAGTTAGAGATTGATGCCTTGCGAGTAGTAAACCAAAAAAATTAGACTGACCAATATGCTGCAATTGGGAAACTAATTCAATGAAAGAACTTTCAGTCTTGAGAAACGTGTACATGCTTATCATTATCTTGCATTAAAATTTAGATTATCATTTGTTTTTTACTACATTAATATTAGTAGTGATAGGATAAACAGAAAACCATTCAGTTCGGAAAAGCCACCACTCTATCTCCCTGTACATTATAGCTATGATCTGTAATAATTGCAATAAAATGACATTTGATCTTATCTTGAAGATCCTCATTATTTTACAAGTCCAGTTCTAGCGAACTTGTCGATCTAAGTGATATCCAGGATCTTGTCCATTCCACTTTTCACGAGAAACCTGAGAACAACCAATAATAAATATCACGAGTCTTAAAAGGCAATGCAACATTTACAGCAATTGTTTTGAATAGATCTAAGGAGTAAGGGCTTAGGCCATGCGACATACTTGTCTCTAAGAATATTTGTCATAGATAGACAACCCCAGGCACCATTGATTGCTTATTCACAGCGATAGTTGGATTATGAATACTCTGGCGCTGGTGCATCCAACCGTGTTGTCGATGTTTTTCATCAGAAACTTTAGTCCTGTTCTCACAGAGTAATGTTTGTATGACTTGAAGTACGACAGTTATAAAAACGCATCCATCATCCTGTAGAAATAACTAAGAATCGATTTATGAAATAGAAGCACTTGCAAAGAAAATCAAAGGCAACGCCTCATACACTGAATAAACCAGATTCTACGATCTTAACACTGAACTAAATTCACAGAGAAAAACTATTGATCATTCATCAATGTATGGATCGTAATTTTGGTTTATAGCAACTAACCTGTACATATAAGCATCAACAGCTTCTGGATCGTCTTTTTAAGTGGATGAGGCATCAGCGCTTATCCAACAGTCTCCACAGGAATCCAATTCCCAGCCTTCTGAGTCGTCCCTCCTGAAAGTTATATCGGTTTGACATAAAAGATTGTGATCTTCTGATCAGTTGATAAATTGTGTTTTATTTTTGATTATTTATGTTATGACAAACAGCAGAAACAAGACAAGTAATGACAAGTACTAATCAAAGGATAAAGCTAAACAAATTATCAACACACATGATTTATGTGATTCAGCAAATTGCCTACTCTATGGACGAGAGAGAAGTTTTATTACCTTAATAGTAAGAGAATACAAGAACCACGAAGGCTCAATATAAAGTCTCTCTCTTTCACTCTATTTCCTAAACGAAACATGAGGAGGTTTAAATACTTCATACATATAAAGGAAAAAACCTAATATGCTAAATATATTATTGGTCCATAAAATTCAAGTTACACACAACAAATCTCCACCTTAGCTTGAATTCCGCAAACCTTTAAGAATGTCAAATAATTCCTCAAAATACACTCCTAAGCTTACTCGAGCTAACTTGATGTAAGAAACAAGAGATGTGAAGAGAGAAAACATTGACTTTAACATTAAGACTAACATATTCCTTCTCTCCAACAAAGCCCTAACATGCATAGACAAATACTCAAGGCACACGGACACAAGACAAGTACTCCACACAAGCGAAGCATGAAGCACGAGAGAGAGAAGAAAACTCATATGGTTGTGTCTCTCTCCTTCACATGGCCGAGCCTCTCTTTTCAAATCACTACCTCTCTATAGTTAGAAGACTCTTGATTACCCATTGTCTCAACTTTAATAAAGGCATACGCTACTAGATCAGCATATGCATATATCCGGGGAGGTCTTATTTGTCTCCTCTCTCGTCCGAGTCGCTATTGAGTAAGATTGTTCAACTTTTTTGGCATCTTCATTCATATTTGAATCTTGTTGCATGTCCGCAATTGTACAAGATACATTTAGGTCTCTCTTTTAAACTCCATTTGAAGCTCTACATTATCCATGACTTTCTTACTCTTTCTTGTAGACTCACAAACAAACTTTCCTTGATCAAGCATATATTTTCTATTAAAAGTAACATCGTTACTAATAATGAATTTAGATGAATTTGGTTCAAGGCACTATAGACAATAACCTTTCACCCTATCGAGTATAACCAATAAATATGGATTTCTTTGCTCTAGATTTAAGTTTATCATTTTTAACATGATAATAAACAAGACATCCAAATACTTTTAAATTTGAATAATCACTAGGTTTACCCGATCATACCTCGTTTAGAGTCTTACAATCAATGGTAGCGAAGGGAGAACGATTGACAAAATAACAAGTTGTGTTAACCGATTTAGCCTAGAAATCCTTCTTCAAACTCTAAATTAGAGAGCATACATCTAGCTCTCTCCATCAAAGTCCTGTTCATGCGCTCTTCCAACCCATTTTGCTAAGGAGTGTGTCTACTCGTGCGGTGTCGGACAATCCCCGAGTTTGTACAAAACTCATTAAAATTTCCACCACGAAATTCCAAGCCATTATCTGTTTGAAGACATTTAACTTTCTTTCTCGCTTGATTCTCTATTAGAACTTTCCATTGTTTGAAAGTTTCAAAAACATCACTCTTATGTTTGAGAAAATAGACCCAAACCTTCCGAGAGTAATCATCAATAAATGTCAAAAAAATAAAGTGCACCAACTGTGGATGGAACTTGAGTCGGTCTTCATAAATTTAAATGAATGTAATCAAGTGTGCCCTTTATAGAATGAGTGCCAACAAAGAACTGTACTCTAGTTTGCTTTTCCTAAGACATAATGCTCACAAAAATCAAGCGATGTCATTTAATCACCACAAAGTAAACCACATTTACTCAAAGTAATCATACCTCTCTCACTCATATGGCCCAAACGCATATGCCACAATTGAGTCCTTTCCTTTTTAGAGTAGGAAGTAATCACCCTTGTAGAGTCCATTACTCGTACTATTTTGTAACATATAAAGATGATTAATTTGAGTTCCTTTCGTCATAACCAATGAACCCTTAGAAACCTTAAGAATTTGACTTTTACCGAAGTAACTATAACCTTTTGAATCTAGATAGCTTAAAGAAATTAGATTCTTCTTCAAATCCGATGTATGTCTCACTTCCATCAAAGTCCTCACAACCAAATCATCACAAGTCGATATGAATTGTATCGGTACCAGTCATCTCACAAATTGAATTGTTGCCCATCAAATCATAGCCACCACTTACGAGTTCATAAGTGGTAAGCCACTCTTTATTTAGACACATATGATAAGAAGCACCGGTATCCAAGATCCATTCTTGATCAAATTGGCCATATAGAGGACATACAATGAGAACACTTTTAGCGACATTAACATTAGTAGCCTTCGCCATATTAGCAGACTCAAAACTTTGACCCTATGGTTTTTCCTTCTTTTTTAGAGTAGGACATCTAATTTATAATGTCCTTTCTTGTAACGATAGTAGCACTCAATATTGTTTTTCTTATTCGAGAGTGTTCTAGACTTAGAACAAAATTTGGGTCTTCCTTTATAACGCTCTCTATCTTTCTATCTCCCCTTACTAGCAAACCATTAACTTGATTATCAACGGCTTTATCATTTAGCTTATGTCTCGAGCTCGGTAGAATTTAAAGAGGCCTTAACATCCTGTAAAGTTGTGAACTCTCTACCATACAATATTAAATTAACAAAATTCTCATACGAGGTAAGTAATAAACACAATACAATAAAAGCTTAATCTTCTTCATCAACTTTAATATCATTATTTTTCATATCCATAACAATCTTATTGAATTCATCAAGGTGTTCATGACTAGACGTACCTTCTTGCATCTTTAGTGTATAAAGACGCTACTTCAATCTTATTGTAAGAGATTTAGTCATGTAGAGGCTTTTCAACTTCTTCTATAGTCCCGTCATCGTCTCTTCATCTGCTACTTCTTGCAGTACTTTGTCCGACAATGATAATTATAGAGCACTATGAGCCTTCTCATCCATCACTTCAATTTCGACGAAGTTACGTCATTTGGGTATATACCCTCAATTGTCTTGATAAAACCTTCACACCACAACAAAGCTTTCATTTTTATTCTCCATAGGCCAAAGTGATTTTGGCCATCAAAAGGCGAAACATCAAATTTTAAAGCTTGCCATTACGAATAAAAAAACCCAAAGATGCACAACCTACACTCGATACCGAGTTTGTGACAAATAGTGAAAACAAGACAAGTAATGACATGTAATAATCAAAAGATAAAGCTAAATAAATTATCAATACATAGGATTTACGTGGTTCGACAAATTTCCTACTCTATGGGTGAGAGAAAATTTACGTGGTTCGAAAAATTGCTTACTTTACGAACGAGAGAAAAGTTTTATTAGCTTGATAGTAGGAGAATATAAGAATCCTACGAGCTCAATACAAAGTCTCTGTTTTTCACTCTATTTCATAAACAGAGACATAAACAGATTTAAATACCTTATACCTATAAAAGAAAAACCTAATGGGCTAAATATATTATTGACCCATAAAATTCAAGCCACACACAACATATATACATACACCTTAACAAGGCTTCATAATGTCTCAATTACCTCAATACCTCTTGCCTTTGCAGACCTAGGTTCAGAGATGATTTTCATCCTTAGTTCTACAGATTCTAATAGTTCTTCAAGATCTTTTATGAGGCTACCGATCCCTTCTTCTGATTCATCTAATTTCATACGTACCATTTCAATGATGATTTTTACCACCATGTAAGCCCCTATAAAACATAATTAAAATTGCATTAGAATGAGGTAACAAGAACTGGATTGGAATTTAACTACACATATCCATCAGTACTACTATGGAACAGTCAAAATACTATAACTCATCAAATATTTATGATGATTTTGATTCTTGAGTACATGGCCTACCATCATCTATGAAATAATTCTCTTTAAGAGCACCATGTCTAGATGTTTCCATCATCAGATGGGATTCAATGTCATCCTTATTAAGTTGGACTCCCTTATCAATCACATTGCGATAACCAACTCGATACAAGCAATGTTGACCTCCTCTATCAGTAATAAACCTTGTCAGTCCCATGCTTGTACGCGCATCGGTCACTATAGTAGTTCCAGGATGTTCCCTAAACACAATAGCAGACATGAGTGCTATAAGCCTGTCACCATTAATCGGGTTTCCTTCCTTGCCAACTACACCACTTCGGTCTACGTCAGTGTCGAAAACAATTCCAAGATCGGCTGAATTTTCTAGCACAGCAGCTCTACTTAGTGCCATGGCAGTTTTGTCTTCAGGGTTAGGCATGTGGTTAGGGAACATTCCATCTGCGTTTAAGTGTAGTGAGCCGAAGTTGTCTGCCCCAAGCTTGTCAAGAACGTCCCACGTGAAGAAGCCTCCCGATCCATTTCCAGCGTTTACAATTATCTTCAGGTTACGAGACAGTTTTAATCACCTTGGGCTGGATCTCAAGAAACAGCTTGGGTTGCTTTTAATTTCTTGGACTTTATATGAGGCTTGGACCCAAAACCTATCTCAAGCAAATAAGTCCACTCCTAATCTCCTATTATACCTTTTTAATTATTTTTTTCTTTTTAATTTTAATTTTAATTTTTATTTTTTTTGCCCTTTCTATTAAGCTCTTCTTTAAATCGAAACAAAGTAAAGTAGCGATGCAATCTTAAGCAAATAAGTCCACTCCTAATCCGCTAATGTGGTCATGTTAAAAGGTTTTTTCGTACTTGGATAATTAAGAAAAAAAGATGGTTTGCGGATTCATGTTTAGGTTAAAATTTAATTAGGTTAAAATTTAACCTCGCAAAAGGAATTTTTATGTTTTGAAAAATAGAAATGGCCAACCCTAACTACCAAAAAAAAAAAAACCTAGGTTTAAAAGTAATTATAGAATTCTATAAATAAATAAATAAATTATAGAGTCGATACCAAATAGAAATTCCTAATTAAGTCTGAAAAGTGTATAGTTATATATTATAATTCTCTTATTTAAATTGCCAAGTTTTTTCTTTATTTTCTATTGCTATTCGACGTTGGACAAGACTTCGAAAAAAATATAATCTAATGTTAATTATTTATTTATAGAATTATTTACAAGTTCGGAGTTGCCACCTAGTATTAAAGAATTAGGAACTTAAAAGTAACCCTAGTTCGAGAGATTGTAAGGTAAGGAATTGATTATGCTTTGGGAAGATATCGATCACCCAAAAATGTTTTTATATATATAAAAAAAGTACCATATTTGGTGTAATCCTAACTATATCTCCTAAAGTGTTTTATTTGTGCCAAATTATTCTCAATTTAAACTCTAATTTTTAAGCCAAATTAAATTTTTTTGTTTTAGGCATGACATCGTATTGAAATGATTGTCGATCCTCTTCGTCGGGTGACACGTCAATTCAAACATCCGATTCACTTCAAGTCTTGAAATAATCAATATGTCGAAAAACATCTTAATTATTAAATAATGATTTTTTTGGTAATCACGGTCTCTATCGGATAAGAGACTTTGTTGAGAAATTTTATTATTATTATTTTTTTTGTCAAACGACAGTCCCTATTAGATATGAGACTTCATTGAAAATTTTTATTATTTTTATTTATTGGTCAAATGATAGTTCTTATTAGATAAGAGACTTCGTTGAGAATTTTTTATTATTTTTAATTTTTTGGTCAAACGATAGTCTCTATCGGATAGGAGACTTCGTTGAGAATTTTTATCATCAATCTCTAAGAAATAGGAGACTCGACAATTCTCCACCTATTGATTCTAATTACTAAATAAATTAAAACTACATTAATTAAAGAGAGTTCAAATACCAATTCTAAATTAATAAACATGCATAAACAAAATTAATTAGGGTAATTATAGAAAGTTTAAAGATAAATTCCAATTGAAACATAAACTAGCGAACAAATTAAAGTTGCATTGAAACTAAACATCTAAATTAACTACGAATTGATAACTTATAAAAATTTTAAATTTATTTTCCTAGTAAAACATCTTTATTTTTTTTTCTTCAAAATTTCCTTTTCCTTTCTTTTTTATTCCTTTTTTATTTTCTATTTCCAAATTTTTATTATATATATATATATATATATATATATATATATATATATATATATATATGGGTGAAGCTAGACTTGTTCCAGCTTCTTAACTATTCTTCTTTTTTTATTTCTTATTTTTCATATTTTTTTCTTGAAAAGAGTGGAGGGCGAAAGTCTGGATTGAAACTAGCCTCGGCCTTTTTGTTTTGTTTTTTTTTTTTTTTTTTAAGAAAGCCTAGGTTGGATCGATAATCCAACCTTTGTTCAAGGTGGGTTAGGCGAAGCCTAACCAATGTTTCTATCTCTTTTTTTTTTTTTTTTTTACTCGGGACTAAGCTAGACCTAGAAAACAACCCAACAACTAGTTCCTCTTTTTATTCAATTCGACTCCCTCTCTGTTATGTTCTTATTGTTTTTCATTTTCTCTCTCTGTTTTACATTCTCTAGAAATCAAATCTTGGTTTTAGACCAACATTTAGTTGAATATCTTGCTTTCATTATTTCAAAAGGAAATTGAAATCCAAGCCTAATACAAAAAAATAAATTTAAGTGATCGTAACAAAATAAATCGAAACCGGGGAAAAGAAGAGAAAAAGGAAATTGAACTAAAATTTCTAAAAAAAGACAAATGATTGTTGCCTTATGAAATGGAAAGATGAGCACAAAATGTCGGGATGACTTTTGAGGGGTAAGGGGTTTATGATTGATCTTGATGGCCCGGATGGTAACTAGAATTCAAGAACCGAAACCCGAAATATGAACACGAAGAACTGGTGAAGAACGGGCGAATTGTTGCCCATAACGTTTTGAAGGAAAATCCAAAAAAAACGCAAATCAAACATAAGAAATTAGTGAATCGGATTAAAAACAAACAGGAAATTCAAAATGGAAGCCAGGAAAACAAGGAAAAGCGAATTGAACCGCCCCATGGGTGAGGAGCAATAACCTCGAAAATGAAGAACAACACACTCCTACCTAGAAATTTCTTAGAAGACCTAGAAAGTGTGAACCGCCTAAAAATCAACAACCCCTATTTCGTTCTTGATTTCACTCTATCAATAGAGAATTCAAAACCCTTTTTCTCCTCCCCCTTTCAGCCTAGAATTCAAAACCTTTTATAAGCCAATGCTTACTCAAATCTCTCCTAAAAATCAGCTCATTCAAACCTAAATTCATTGCCAAATCTCAAATTTGAGATTTGGTTAGCCAAAAACAAGAGAATGGATTAGTGATTACATGATTCTTGGTTGGTATCATCAATTGCAGCCAAGAATCACCATAAATTCAAATTAAAAAAAAATTAATGAAAGATTTGGATAGATTTGTTTTGAACGATTTTGGAGGGATTGTGTGTTGGAGTGGACGATGGATCGCCCGCTCAATTTTAGTCCTATCGTTCGCTCTAAAATTTCAATTTGGTCTCTATAAATATCAATTGTACGTAATCGTGCCATCTTACCGTTTAATTTTGTTATTTGTAAAAAGTAATTTTATTAATTGGGTTTTTGGTGTAATTTAGGTTTTGAATTTCTCAATTGATTCGATTGTATCCCTAGTTATTTTAATTACATTTTCTCTTAGTACAACTATGCCCCTTGGTGACATTTTTCTATATGCTTTCCTTTTGTATATTTTTCCTTTTTGTATTTTTATCATTTTTTCCTTTTTTTCTATTTTTTTCTAGTAAACTCAAAAAATAAAATAAGCAATAAATAACAACAAAATAAATATAGGAAAATTTTGGGTTATGACATTTTTAATTTTCTTATTTTTTGGAGACTTTAGTTGTCAATGATTTTCCTATTTCATATAACTATTGAGCCTCTAATTTTATTTGCCATACTTTCCCCTTGATTCTCTTATTCTGTCTCTTGATTATCTGTGATTTCCAATAGTAAATTCTAAAATTTGCCTCGACTCTAAGCATAATTAATTTTGATTTTTTCTCTTGTTTTATTTTTCTTTTCCTTTTTTCCCCATTTTATAAAACGTTTGGCCAAGCAAACTCGCAGTAAATCTGTACATGCTTTGATGCTGAGTCCCCGCACACAAGCTTGATATACTCGTGCTTAATATGAACCAGTAATTCCTATCAAAATTTCTTATTTACATTTTCATGAAAAATCAAATTAAAATTTGGAATGAATACAAATAGATACATTGAAAGAATAATTAAACGTGTAGACATTAAACTTTAATATAAACGTATTCACGATATGCCAGACATCAACACACATGCAGTTAACTAGCACCACATATTAGCAATAGCCTCAAAATTTCGTAAGGGATTAAATTTTTCTTGCAAGGATAACAGAAGATGAGGGTGTGCTGCTCCTGTTGTAACTTACAAAATTGGAACATGTACTCATGCTCATAATTCATATACAAAGAAAGGAAGGAAGAAATTTATGAGGGAGAAGGGGGAGAGGGAAACCTGAAATCCTTCGCGGGGGAGGAGGGTGGGGGTGGCGTGGGTGGATGGGGGGAGAAGGGTTTGTCGTAGTGCAAGGGATGGTTCACTCCTTGGTTATATGCCGGAGGAGCTTTGCACAGGTGCTCATGAAATCAACTCTTGCTCGCGGAGTCTTGAGCATGGTGGAAACTTTTGCAAGGCTATTTGCATACTTGAGCGCAGCTTTATCACATATCTCCTCCACCTCGGGTGAGGTTTATAACACCTCCAACTTAAAACCTAAAAGGTTGAGAATATTATCGTCATTAACCGATATTTGAAGTGCAATAAATATAAGCTAACAAGATACTATGACTTATAATTGTTATTCCTAAGTATGTAATACGATGCGGAAGATTTTTATTTGATTATTAGGTCCTATCTTACGAGTCCAAAATGCACTATTAATTTTTTACGTTTTCTTATTTATTTAAATTACTTGGATTGAAATGAATAAATCCATGTCATTCGTTTTTTTTTTCAAATTCTTTCTCTATTAAACGATATAAATTCATTTGATTATTACTCATTATTCGGTATTTAATTTCTTTCATTTGCTGTAATTACTATTTCTTATGATTTATTTCTTATCTCTTTTGTTATCTTATTCGACTATTGATATTGGCATATATGGAAATAATTTAAATAAATTACACTAACTATGATTATACTACTATTTTACTATCAATATTTTGTTTATATACAAACGGTCCTTAACATACAAAAATAGCTTCTATACCACATACTACAAAAGTGGCTTATTCTTTAATCTAGATCACATTACAAATTTCCTATTCATTTGTTC